CAAGTATGATTATCAAATCAAAATATCCAAAGTCTGCTCAAACGAAATCCTAAAACAAGCTTATATATCCTCAAACCTAACCCTACTAGGATTAGTAAACATCAAAACATAAAATTACGAAACTGCCCTTTACTAAATTAATCCATAAAAATACTAAAAAAAATAGAAAAACCCATCTAAACAACCTCGAATCGCGAAAATCCATCGTAGTCATAGTCAATGGCAGTGAGTATTGATCAGCATACTGTTTCACTTTGAGCTTAATCCGAGATCGTCGACTTCAAGCCCGTCGATTCTTCTAGTCGCATAACGGGTCCACTAGTCCCCTAGGTGCATCAATTTGTAGCAAGGGTTGGGCCTCAGGTGGTGTGTGCAAATAGTGTAGTGCTAAAGCGACTTAAAAATGCATGCACATCAATTTATAATTAACCAACACTTCAAATATAATCACATCACATTCATTCCACCACCTCCCTCCAAGAAAATGGTAAGCAAAGACTACACCCTTATCCCTCCAAATTGCAAAAACATTTAAGATTTCCGTTGGCGGGACTTACCTTGAGTTTTCACGTGAGCACAAAACACATGCAAATCAAACTAAACTAGGCCTAAATCCACTGAATCCCCAGAGGAATCGCCAGGCCTGTCGCGCCGCGCTCTCACATGCTAAGAGGTACTTTCGTTCATCATGAATGGTAGAATGTCTTATCACTAATGAACGAGGGTCTCTCCCTGACTACGAGAAGATAGGGTGCAGCAAGGTTGATGCAGATATTTATTAACTTTCCAAAATAGAAAAGAAACATCGAAAATTTTGTTGTTGAATAGAGTTACCGCTTGTGACCAAAAAAAGAAAAGAATAGAGTTCTCGTGTTGTATTGTGTCAAGAACCGTTATCAGACTCATGTTCATTCTACTCCCTATGCCGCATTGTAATTTGATTTCCCTCTTTGTTTGTTTGACATCAAAATCAAAATCAAGAGAGATTAGCGAATTTCTTTTTCAAACTTAGAGAAATTTGAAAGTTCGCGAATCAAAATATCATATTCGCATTTGATATTTAATTTCCTTCTTACATGAATTCTTAAATTTTTAATTTCTATCATTTTTTTATCAATATCTACCATTTAAAAAGTACAGTTCAATTACCCCCCACGGCACCGTTACTTATTATTGCTGATCAGAAGTCACTCTCTCTTGACCTTAATTGAAGAAGTGGAGCTCAGTGTGGAGTGAAGTAGGGTAGAGTAAACAAATGGTCTGGAGAGTGAGTTTGATGAATCCCGATGAGAAAAGAGAGATGGTGTGCTTTTTCTGATGCTGCGATTCACATGGATTTACATCAGAACATCACTTCTCTCTGCTTGAAATAGAGCTGCTCATTCTTTTTCGAGACCTTTGGAGTTCGGTGGGGCAACATAATTTTCAGTTTTATCTTCTACCTATGATCTCCTTCTTTTTCTTTCAAAATTGAAAAATAAGGAAAGATTCATGATCTTTCAAGTTTTTGAAAGTTGAGAAAATTAGTATCTTATTTTACGTGTCAATATTTATTGACTCATTCATTTTAAGAAATATTGGATACTTCGTCGTGAAACTCAAAAAATTTTGCATTACAGGAAAAGTCACAAAACAAGTTGAAGATGTTATTTAGAACCTTATAAAACTATTAAAAACATTGTTTACACATTACATGCATAGCATAAAAGATCCTTTTTTAAAAAATATATATGTGTTTTAGTAATGTGGGTTTGAGTCCAACATGGATTGGGTTTGGATTGGATCGAGTATGGGTTATTGAATTTGTATTGGATATAAATGGATCAAAACGGATTAAATATCTTTCGCTTTTTTCCTCAAAAGACCCAAAACCTCGTGTCACAGAATGGACTAGAGAAATGGACAGAGAAATTAATCTTTTGCACCTAAGTTCCTCTTTGAGTTTCACGTTTGTGTATGGAGTTCAACTCTTTTTTTTTTTTTGTTGATAAATCGAACCTTCCATTGCATCAAAAAAGTACAATATTACATAGAAGAGTTAGAGCCTACATCAACACGATAAATTAAGGAAGACTCCGCTAACACTAAGTATTTGACTCTAGGTGGGAGATCATTAAAAAAGAAAGACGAAGCATTTCCTAAATGATAAAAAGCCCATTTTGCAAACTCATGAGCAGCAACATTACTAAATCTGTTGATCCACTTGAAACTCCATTTTGGGTTGTTGCTGAGAAGTAAGCGAGTATCCGAGACGAAAGGATGAATACACCAAGGACAAATGCCCTTTTGTTGAATAGCATCAATTAACACCTTACAATCACTTTCAAAAACCGCCTTGTGGATGCCGAGGGATTGAGTAGCTTTGCATGCGAGAAGAAAAGCTGCAGCTTCCACTTCCACTGGCGAGTTCCATCTTCCTCGTCTTGTCCACGCTTGGACAACTGAGCCTCTATACGATCGTGCAATAATACCTATAGCACCTCTGTTATCTTTCCACGCACCATCTACATTAAATTTCAACTCTTGGTTTGATGGAGGAATCCAAGAGTTTGACCTTACCCCAATAAAATCCGGAGTTCAACTCAATATTAAAGAGTCAGGGACCCCGCAGAAAGATCACAGGCTCTCCTCCATTAACATCACGGTCAAATTGCACATAGTTGCTTGCAATTCGTATGCTTTTCTCACATGGCAACCCCTGCTGGAGCCTTACAAGGCCAGGTGGCTGGAGACAAATTTTAGCTCTTATGTCACCACATAGAGCACTTCCCCCGGCGTGGTGTTTTGGGTCCGCTTGGTCGGGTCTTTCGCCTAAACTAAGGCCAAGCAATTCCTTTTGTCCAGTTTATGATTCGGTTTTCTTTTCTTTTTCTTTCATTTTTCTCTTGATTGTGACTTTACGGGTGAAGATGCATGGTAGCCGAGTTAGAAGCCTCGCCGAGGAAATCGAAATAGGAAGGCCCTTTCCGCCTCTACTCGATCCGCGATGAGTGGAGTCAAAGTCTCGAATGAGAATCGACGCAGAATCGTGCACCTGTGCAGTGGGAAAAACACATGCACCAACCCCAGCAAACCGCATCACAACTTTTCCGCTTTAACATCTCTAGGAGCCGTTTCATAGATTCTTCTAAGAAGCATATCGTCCAACGGTTTGTGGTCAGCAAGTAGAGTAATAGATTTTAACCATTCCAAACTCAGATTCCTTCCTCGACTCGAACGAAACTCCCGAGTAATGTTCTATATCAGATGGATAGGCACGAACGTGGACTGATTCTATCTCATATAAAGGAGAAACCACATCAAACTTTATTTTCGTTAAACTGAGAATGATAACGAATAGTGAATATTAACTTGCTAATGAAATAAAATTCAAGTTTGACTATAGAAGAGACGATTAATATTACAAATCTCCCTCCTCAACACTCCTTTGCTCTCTGAGCTCTAAAGTTAATCTTAAAGTATACAAACTTACTATCATGCTATCGTGTGCCTTGTGCTAATCTCACGCCACCCTTGCTCCCAAATAGATCACTACAAAAAAACAAGGGTTTAGCCACGGAAAATTAGCGACGAAAAATACACTCGTTGCTAATTTGCAACGAAAAAAAATTCGTCGCTAATTTGTGATGGAATTTGCGATGTAAAAAAATTTTGTCGCTAATTTGCTACAAAAAAAAATTCGTCGCTAATTAGCGACGGAAAAAAAATTCGTCGCTAATTTGTTACGGAAAAAAAATTCGTAGTGATGAATTTTGCCACGAATATATTTCGTCACAATTTAGCGACGAAAAATTCAATTTTACGACACCGAATTGGCGATGAAATTTCTTTTGTCACAAATTCGTTTGGCGACGAATTTTTCCATTTTTTGTGGCAAAATTCGTCGCTAAAACCTACTTCTTTTGTAGTGACATAAATTAGAAAAGCAACGGTAGATTCATTTTTTTTTTAAATGAGATCGCAAAGTCGGGTTGCAGTTTGAAATCCTATTATAAGTTTATAAGGGTTTGAATGGATTGGGAACGTGATTATATCGGAGCCGCTACTAAGGGTGTGCATAAGAATCCATAGAAATGTGTGGGGACAAACCATTAGAACTTGAGAGTATATGATAAGTTTCGAGATATGGAGTCATAACTATATCATATCCTCATTATAACTTTTACTCGTGCATAGTACATGATAGATTGTCCTTTCATATAATTATTTGTACCAAAAAAGTACGAGAATATAGTAATTACTTGCTGTTTTATAGTTTTTAGGTACAAGTTTCAATATAAACTTGTAGAATTATTTTGTATTTTAGTTGTGCAATATCATTGGGTTTTGCTATCAATATAGTGAATTTGTACTTCATCGTATGATATACGAGTTTTTCTCATGTTGCGATGTAATAGAATAGCTTTTTGATAAGTTAAAATGCACAAGTTTTCTTTTGTAGAAATTCAACAAACTATTTAGTAATTTTTTCTTAAGAAAGAGTAGATCAATGGATTTTGGGTTTCAAATTGAGGCAAATACCATTCTCACATGAAAACCTGCTATCGCATAATAACATCCTAACTTTCCTTGCCATGTGAGGGAAAAATTGTTCGGTGACACACGCAAACTCTCTCTCTGTAATTGGTTTCTGGCATTCTCCATCACATTGAACTGACTACATTATTCTTTGCGGATCTCACTTTTGTATATTGAACTCAGCTTGTGGGGTTGTAGTGGCTTAGGTGTGAGACTCCTAGATCCTATAATTTGTATATTGCATTCTGTTACCATGGGTTCCTTGTGGTTCTTATTTTGTTGATTGAAATGCAGGCCCTGTATTTGAACTGCCCAGAGTTGAATAGCCTTGCCTGTAAAAATTTGCTCCCTGGTACGTTTTAAAAAATGTAATGGTCTTGATTGAGTGCTTACTTTAATTAATGGGATATTGATGCATCTCACATGCTTTCCTAATTTGCATCCTAATCTAACTTTAATTTTCTTTGCATTCTCAGATCGATTGCTAATTCAGTGCCCTTATTTAGAGAATGTATATGCATCAGGTTGTCAAGAATTGTTAATAGAGGTTATTCAAAACCAGGTATGATCTGAATTTAATCAGAATATAGCACTAACATCAATTTGTGCTGCTTGTCAATATGCTTCTCTAACCTATACGAGCTTGTTGATTACATCATCAAGCACTTTAAAACTTGAATTTGCGTAACAAACCTACCTCATAGACAATGTTAACCTTGCTGGAAACTTGATGTGATATTCCACTGACGCGAAAGTCTATGTCTCACTTTCTTGTTGAGACCCTTGTCTTGAGAATCCTGTATGTGAGAAGTTATACCTTGCTCTATCCCCCACTTTTCTTTGTCCTTCTTACAGTAACTTAAGATTTATTTATTTATTAAATAAATTGTTTGATCTCAAAGATTCAATGGTTTGAGGAAAGCATTAACATTTGTATTGCATCTACTTGTAGGTCAACAATGATTCTTTTCCCGTGGAAAACCATTTGCCCTTTAAACGTCTGGCTGATGGTTCCAAGAGAGTTCGAGTTCCCCATTTTCTGTGCCAACAGGTGAAGTCCCTCACCTACATATCTTCTAGTGGTTGTAACCTAAATGTCAATGCCGTTTCTTAGATACAGCTCCTTTTCTCTTTCATGTGAGCAAATGGAAAATGAATTGACAACAGCAAGTCTGATTATTGATTAGATAACAAGCAAATAGATGGACAATAGCATTAATGTCACGAGAGTATCTTGAAACATTGTATTTGCATTCTATTACTGGTGATGAAATAGAATAGGGAATCATATCATAACATCGCCTCACATGTTAACCATCTTTGCTCTTCTCTTTTTTCCAAGCAGCAAAAGGAGGCGGCCGTGTAATGTGCTTGCAGAATGATTATACATGTGGACAGTTTTGACAATTGACATGGTGATAGCTTCACTTGTTTGATGTCATATTACTGCTGAGGCAAGGCCCTCTAGACTGACTTCTTGCGGGTTCCTAACATTATTGCCGGTTGCTTATGCCTTGTAGAATTCTTTTAGGCATTGTGTGGCCCCCTGGTCACTATACTAGAAAACACTCTGGAGCTTAGCTTCAATAGCATAACTTCACCATTCTAAAATAAAGTTATCAACCTATGTAATTTCTGTGCAAACTGTCTTCGTATCAGGAGTTTCATGGAAAGACTAATTTACTGAGAATTTATATTAGAGCATGAACTGTTGCTGTTAATATTCATGTACTTGATATCAGAGGTTAGAAGGTACTCTGCAAGGTTGAGTTTGTGGTAGATATACCAAGTTTCAGCCATGTATTAGATACAGTTTGCACTTTGCCACGAACTTATTCGTGGCAAAATTCGTCGTTAATTTGCCACGAAAAATTTACTTTTGTCACGAATATTGTTTCGGAACGAATTTAGTGACGAATTTAAATCTGCCGCTAAATTAGCGACGAATTATCAAAATAGTTGCAAATGTGCGGCGAAAGTATATTTTCGTTGCTAAATTCGTCATAAATTAGCGATGGAATTAGCGATGAACTACAAAATTCACGGCATGTTCCCGACTATTTTATTTTCGTCGCTAATTAGCAACGGATTCAAATTCGTCGCTAAATTCATTCCAGAACAATGTTCGTGGCAAAAGTAAAAATTTTTCGTGGCAAATTAGCGACGAATTTTGCCATGAATAATTAGCGACGAATTTTGCCACGAAAAATTAGCGACGACATTGTCGCTAAAACCTACTTTTTTAGTAGTGGATTTGCTCGACCTGGAGCAGGGACATCCAATCTCCACAACCAAACAGGAGATAAAAGGTAAGCATCTGCCTAAAAACCTTATACTTGAAAGTGTTCTCACCTAGAACAACCTACTAATCTAACCAATTCCGATCTAATTACCTATTCTAACAATCAAAACATTTATTAAAACAACTAGATCAAAAATGACTAACTTGGACGACAGCGAGTCTCAGGTGCTCCGGTGGAGGGGTTTATGTGGGCCAAACTCATGATTATGCAAAAACACGATCCAAAATGCACCAAACAAGAAAGTAATCGATCAGAAACATGATTAGGGGATCAATAATCACAAAAACAAGAAGAAAATCACGGAATCAAGCACACAATGGATCGGGCACTTATTCGGGCATTTCAACAAACAGTTGGTAGGTGACTGGAAAGAAAATTTATCTTCTTCGTCGGAGACCAAATCGGAAATTCCAAACTACATGGAAGCTTTGGGATGGTCCTCCTGCACCTCCCCTACCAGTCTATGAGCTCAACTTCGCCTGGGAAGTCCTGGATTTGACAATCGGGGGTGGTTTTCAGGCATTTTGGATTAGCTTTTTCTCTGGACACTCCGAGTAGGAGGTCACTGGAGAGGTCGATTCGCCGGCACCTTTCCCGTCGGGACGGCTCTGGTCACTCGGCCTGAGGGACCTCTACTCCCTCTCTCTCTCAGTTTCTCTCTTTCTCTCTCTAGTTCTCTCTCTCTCTCTCCGGAATTCTGTCGAGCACCTTCTGTCTAACAAACCATCTTTCCTTCCCCTTTTTTATCTCTTCCCCGAGCGATTTCTGGCCACTAACCGACTTGGGAGACCGTTGTAATGGTTCCCCGTCGACAGTTGGAGGTTTCCGGCTGTCCAGCTTTCCTTTGCACGTGCTGGAATGGGAGCACTAAGGGCCTGTTTGGTTCAGCATTCAAATGCTGCTTTGGGGCTCTAAAGGCCCTTGGGCAAATGCAAACTTGTTTGGCAATTTTTTTTGCAAGCTTTGAGGAGATGCAATTGCATCTCCAAAGCTTCCTAAGGGCCTTTGGCTAAATGGAGGGTTGAAGGAGCATTGGGGAAGTAGCATTTTCGGAATGCAAGTGGCACTGTCGTCATTCCGCCACTGCTCATCGCGCCCAAGGAGCCACACCGGAGGCCGCCGAGGGTCCGCGATCGCCGCCTGGGGGGTCGGCTGAGCCTCAGGCGACCACGCTTCGGGTCGCCGAGCCTTCGGCGACCGCCGCTGGGGTCGCCCGGACCTCAAAGCGGCGCCGTGGTCGCCGCGACCCGCATCCGGGTCGCGCGACCCGAGCGCCGCCGAGGCTCGGGCGACCCTAGCGGCGGTCGCCGGGCCTCGGCGACCTCAGCGGTGGTCGCCGAGGTCGGCCGACCTGCGGCGGCCGCCGGACCTCGGCGGCGCCGGGTCGCGCAACCCGAGCACCGCCCGAGGTCGGCGGATCCAGCGGCGGCCGCCGGGTCGCGACCCCAAGTGCGGCGGTCGCCGGAGGTCGCCCGACCCCCAGTGGCGGTGGCATCGCTGAGGGTCGCTCGACCCGGACACCGCTCAGGGTCGCCCCGCCTCGAGGCGGCGCTCGGGTCGCGACCCGGATCCGGATCGCGCGACCCAAGCGCTCGCGTGAGGTCGGGCGACCCCAGTGCGGTGGTCGCCGGGGTCGGGCGACCCCCTGAGCGGTGGTCGCCGGAGGTCGGCCGACCTCGAGGCGAGGCCAGGGCGGCGGCGAGATCTCGGCCGCCGGAGGTTGGCCGGCCGGCCGTTTTGGCTTGCTCGGCCGGGATCGCCCGCGATCTTGGTTCGAGCCAAAAAAATTTTTTAAAAAATATTAGCAAAAGTCCTTTACAAAATTAAGATTTTACCAAACGGTATTTAGACCAAAGTTGTTTTCAAATGTGATTTTAAAAGACACGTTACCAAACACTACTTGCATTTCGGAAAACCCCTTTAACTCAAAGGTATTTGCATTTTGCCAAATGCATTCCCCCAAAGCCGAACCAAACAGGCCCTAAGTTGGTGAATGGGAGGGACCAACTTGATTTTTCCTCTCCTTCCCCCATGCCAAGCTGAGTTGGGTAAGGAAAAAGGTGACTCAGGCCGGGTCGGGTTGGATCTGACCAACCCAGCTAACCCAAGTTGATTTTAAATTGCAAATTGAACCTCCATTTGACCAATTTTCACAATTCTGCCCCAAATTTCAATTCCTTGGCATATTTTAAGGTAAAATATGCCATCAATTTGAATTTTTATTTCAATTAAGCCCAAAAACCTTAAATTTGAATTCAATTCAATTGGGTTTTTATTTAATTGAAGGTTCAAATGATCTAATTATGCTATTCCAAGGCCAAAATCGGATTTCCCATGATCAATCACCCTTAGGGAAGGCATGAATTTCGATCGAAAATTTCAAATTGAATGAAATCCCCAATTTGAGTCCTAAAATCTCTAATTTTCAATTAATTTTGGGGCTTTTCAATTATTTTGTCAAATTGTGAAATTGGACTGACCAATATGCAATTCAAGATCCCAGAATCAATGGTTGTGAAGACACTATAACCCGAAAATTCCTAGAATAACTTAATTGGATTTTTAGTTCAATTAGAATATGAAATTACCCAAATTTGGGGAAAATGTATTCCCAATTGAAATTTTGTAAAATTGAAGTTTCAGGGATAACATTACAATTGAAATAAGACTAATGACTATTTTTGGGAAATTTTTGGACTTCATTTGGTATTTTTATTGATTTTATTTATATTTTTATCAAAATAAATTGAAGAAAAATTAAATAAAAATCTAGAAAAATTATTTTTTTGTTTAGAAATAGGTTCTTAAGCATGGCCAAGGTTCATCATCCTAATTTTGTGATTTTTACGTAAAATTAAAAATTGAACCAAAAATCAGATATCAACAACAGTTTATATAAATGTCAAGGCGTTTTGAGATCCAACATTGATGGTATGATAAATAGAATGAGACACCTTTCTCTTGTGCATACATTTCTATAACCTATTTTGTATGTCGAATGCTCTAAAACACATGAATAAATTACATATATGATCCATAAGGTGTACTTGTATCAACAATGCATATATTACTAGTCTTTGCCCATTTCATAATAGTATTATCCATTTTCAGGAAATTAAATGTCTCTTTTGACCATTAAGAAGAATGAAAAAAAAAACCGAATACATCTCTTGTTCTTTACTCAAACAACAACTAGAATTCACAAACCTTTAAATTTCATAAGAAGGCCACAGGAAAGCAAATGCCAACCTCGATGTTCAGTTGGAAAACGTGGACAGGAAAGTCATAAATATATATGATCATTCAAGACAACCTTTATGAGATGACTATGTGTGCATTGGCGGTATCACAGAAGAAATTAAACATTCTCTGAGGTCCTTTTCATTTCTTCATAAGACCCACGTTTGAGCATGATGCAATTAACGATCCTAAATGAGATGTCTAACCAAAAAAATTTGATGCAATAAAAGGCTTGGACATCTTTTTCTTTACCGCTGAAAAGGGAATGGTGTTTTAAACAGTGATTGATTTGAATGATTAACCGTACGAATCTTACTAACCGCGAAAATACAATCGAAAACACTGATTGCTTGGGGACCAATAATCAGTGCCAAAGGGGAAGAAATGCTGGAAGTTGTGAGCTAAAACCGAGGACTCGTTCGGACATGGGAAATGAAGTCAATATAATGTGAATAGGAGCCCCGTTTTCCTTTTATGACAATGTTTGTCTAATTGAAATGGGGCAGAAGGGAATTGACGATTGGCTTCATTACCGCATTTTCATTAATACGTGGGAAGTGGCAATAAAAGAAAATATGTTGTTTTCATCACTCGAGACAACTTCCACACCAAGACTTAAAATCAACCCTGTTTATTTTATGAAAGATACAATTCCAGAAGACAACTTCTACAACATTCAGCTTTCCGGCTTTTGCGTTCTCAATATAGGAAAAGGATACTGAATGACAGGCAAGAAAATTGAATAACAGATAAGTTACACAAACTGAACTTAATATAGTCTTAGAGAGGAAATCAAAATGCGTCTGTTGAGCACGAAAGCACGTTCTTCGCCTCCTTATTTGTCTCGCTCTTCACTGAACCTCCTTATTTGTCTCGTTCTCATCTCATCCTTTACTGAACCTCCTTATCTGTCTCGTTCTTCACCTACTTATTGTGAACCTCCTTATTTGTCTCGTTTTTGTCGCATTCTCCACCGAACCTCCTTATTTGTCTGGCTCTTGTCTGGTTCTTCGCCTCCTCATTTGTCGGCCGGCCACTGGGCATCCCTACCGGTTGATGCAAATCAATAATCACCTTAATTCAACTTGCAAAAGCAGCCTGCTGAAAAAAAAGCCTCGGAATTTGGGATAGAAAACAGAGTGGATCGTTCAACGTCATGGAGCACATGGAGGATGATGATGTCGTTTTGCTGTCAGATACGAGGGTAAGGGAGGAAAATCTTCAGTATTTAGAAGCACCGGACCAACCCCGCGTGGTAAATGAAAATACCAATTATCAGATTCAAGATGCTCCGGACGAATTGATGCACGTAAGTTTGCTTTTCTCATCGTCTTTTATAGCTGGTTTTTTAAATTAACACGAGTTTCTCTAGTGGCTATACACCACCGACTAAGTGCCAATTGAATTACGCTGCAGGTGTCAGAAGACGCATGCAACAATCCTGAGGTTGATGGCAACATCCAACCCAATTCGACTGAGGACCTCCATCCTCCAGTAGAGCTCCGCTTGACCAATTACGCCTTAAAATGCGCTGTCGTGGCCTCTATTACCTCCGGTTTGCTTGGTGTTTGTAAGGCCTCCATTACCTCCGTTTTGCTGGGTGTTTGTATGATTTACTTAGGAATTTTGTGATGATAAATAAGGTTTTTCTTTTTTTTTATTTCGACAGATGTAAAAGTGATGAGTGGAGGGGCGGTGCACATAAAGCAAGACCGGAAGACAACTGAAATTTCGATGGGGGCCCTAACGGGGATCCTCAACTTGTTCGTTATCCTTGGGTCGGCGATGGCAGGGTGGACCGCCGATTTGAAAGGCCGCCGCCGCACGATTGTGTTTGGGGGGGCCATCTTGTTCTTTGCAACCCTCTTCATGAGGTTTGCCCCCAGCTATGCCTTCTTCCTAATAGGCAACTTGTTCGCCAACATTGGCGTCGGCTACGCCCTTATGATCTCACCCCTCTACATCGCTGAGGTTTCCCCTACCTTCTCCCGTGGCTGCCTAACCTCCTTCCCGGAGGTACTGACTCTTTTGTTTCTTCTTTTTTTCCCTACTTTGGTAGTATCTTTTTCATTTTGTATTTGTCATAAAATTTTGTCTTTTTCTTGTTGTACTTGCGTTCTTCTTGTTAAGGGAAAGTAATTACTTTTTTTTTTATGCCGTTTTGGTGGTGTAGATATTCATCAACTGCGGCATCATCCTTGGCTACATCTTCAATTATGTTTTCTCCAAGCTCCACCTCAGCATTGGGTGGCATGTTATACTAAGCGTGGGAACAACCTCCTTGGCCATCCTCACCATTAGGGTCCTCCACATGCCGGAATCCCCCCGGTGGCTCATCATGGAGGGCCGCCTGCTTGACGCAAAGCACGTCCTTGCTAAGACCTACGGCTCCAATGAGGAGGCCGCGCTCCGGTTCACCAGCATCAAAGAGGCTGCTGGCATCCCTCCTGAATGCAACGGAGATATTGTCAATGTCAACAGGCATAGTATCTGGGAGGTTATATGGCGGGATCTCCTCCTTCACCGGACCCGGTCCATGTGCCATATTCTCGTCTGCGTCATTATGATCCACTTCTTTCACGAGGCCTTTGCCATTGACGCCGTCTTCCTCATTTTCAAGACGGCTGACATCACCTCCTCCAGCGACAAGCTCCTAATGACCTTGGCAGTTGACTTGGTAAAGACAATATCCATCCCTGTCGCTACCTTACTCCTTGATCGGGTTGGGCGACGGCCATTGCTGCTGTTCAGCACTGGCGGGATGATATTTTCCCTCACCTTCCTAGGAACATTCCTCACCATCATCGACCAAAGGGACACAAAGCTCACGTGGGAGGTGAACATGTGTATCGTCTCAGTGTTGCTCCACGCATTCTTCTTTTCTGTCGGGTTGGGGCCGGTCACGTCAGTATATAGCTCAGAGATCTTCCCACTAAGTATACGTGCGCAGGGGTGTGCAATCGGTGTCATTGCGAATCAGGTGGTGAGCATAATAATATCGATGACATTCTTCCCGCTGTACCAGGCGATCACCCTTGGTGGGACCGCCTTCTTGTTAGCGGCGATTGCGATCTCGGCATTCTTGTTCGTCTACAAGTTCATGCCAGAGACGAAGGGGCGAACGTTGGAGGAGATGGGGCTGTTTTTCGGTGAATTCACCAACTGGAGGTCTGCGGCGAGGGAGATAGAGATGCAAGGAACAGCGACGCGACCAAGACAGCAGTGAGGGGAAAATAGTGAGGCTTAGTTCATCTTCTAATTTGGTACGCTGGTTACTCAAGTATATGGAGTGAAGTGGTAACTAAGTATGGAGTCAGAGCCTCAGCTTATGTTTCTGGGGCAACTGCTGGTGAAGAGGTCATTTCGACGATGCCCTTAACTGATTTAGTCCAGGAATTAAGTCAAATTTCACGATGGGTAATGTCTCGTAATAAGGAAGCTTAAGTAATTGTTGCGCTGCGCCCCCGAGCGCGCTTGGAGGTGCTTTCGTTCAGCGGGAATGGTAGAGTGTTTCATCACTAAATGAACAAGGATCTCTCCCCGATCATACCTCACGATATAGTGGGTATTTATTAGGGTCTCTCCCCGATCATACCTCACGATATAGTGGGTATATATTTTCTGTTTAGCCTATGTTTTATTTTGGAGTCACCACTAGTCTTTAATGATTGACTAGAAACCCTATCGAGACAGGGGACAACTAACTCGATTTCTGCGAATCAGAGATTTCATAGGTAGGGGGACTTGGTTATGTTAATGATTTCGATGCAAAAATCCCAACACCCTTTCGGTACTTAATTCGATTTGAAGTGTTTAGCGTAGCATGCAATTTCTCTAGGCCTATTCGCTAATCCTCACCATTCTAAACGAGGAATCAATCAGTCATGAAAAGCATAATCAATTCAAATCACAAACAACAATCCTAATATCGTCCCTAAAATGGAAAATCAATCAAAACAAGCAAGGCCTAGTGAAGCCCTAAAGGCTTGTTTATTTTTAGGAGTCGTGCTTTTTTAGGGGTTTTAGTGTTTTTTGGGGGTTAGACGCCTTTTGGGGGTTAAGCCCCCTTTTAGGGTTTTTTAGGGGGTAAGCTCCTTTTAACATCTAAACTAGGCAATTTTCAAAAGAATAACTTGTGCACCCCAAAAAATTATAATTTCACTCAAAATGGGTGGTTACAAATATTCTAAGCCATTCTGCAATTTTTGGAATTGTGGAATTTTTGTTTTGAAAATTATTTTAATTTGGTTTTCCTACTTCCCAAATTCTAAATTTTCCATTTTTTAAATTTTTCTGAATTTTTTAAAATTTTTTTATGAATTTTCTGGATTTTTTTGTTTTTTTATGAATTTTCTGAAATTTTTTCATTTTTTATGAATTTTCGTATTTTCTGAAATTTTTCCGAAATTTTATTTTTTTTAATGATTTTCTGAAATTTTTATTTATTTATTTATTATTATTATTATTTTTTATTTTCCGGGAACGAACCTGACCGGTTCAGACCGGTCCAACTGCGTTGGACCGGCCTGACCGTCCTCTGGCCGACCTCCGGCGAGGACGGAGCCAAAATGGTACCGTTTTTGTTCTTTTTCAAAGGCACTGCACTGTTTCTAAGCATTCCAATCAGAACTGGAGAAAATTATCGACTGAAGGATTCTTCCAACTTCAACAACAACATCGATGTGTTTCGCCAAGACATCAACATGGAACCATCGAAGACAAGGTCTCTCTTCTCAACTCCTCATGTTGAGCGACGTTAATATCATCGAAAACATATATTTCAAAACAAAAGCCATTCTTCCAACAAATCAAACACACATATGCACACCGAAGGGTTCATCAAGACTTGATCATTCAAACTTCTGCATTCACAAGCTCGATAGACAGAGGCTAACCTGATCGGGAATGAAAACTGTGATCGGCGACGGTAGGAACGACGATGTCGGAGCTTTCGACGAACGAACATACTTGGGCGCCGTATTGTTTCCCTCGACCTCCCCTTTCCTGATGGAGCCGACAGATGAGCTTCGACTACATCTCGGATTCCCCCCACGTGTTTTCTTCTCCGCGTTTGTTGTCACCGTAACTGACTGCCCCCGTCTTCACAGCTCAGCAGGTGTTGTAGAAGATTTCTCTTTCGGTTTTGATCCCGTCTCGATTGCTTCCTGTATTATTTTTATCATTATTTTTCTTATTTTCGTGGCCCTTTTTAATATTTTTACTACTCTTTTTTTTTCACTTTTATTGTCTTTCGGTGTTGGGAATCCAAAATGCTCTCAAGCTTTGATATCTGTCCGTGACAATGCACAAAGGAGGAAACCCCTAAAATCATGATATTTCTCTTATCAGTGGCAAGTCAAATTAAACATTACATAGAAGCATAAACATATGGAAAAGGCAGTCGTGGTGGTGTGTAAGCATACTCAATGTGAAGCAGTATTTCAAGTTTTATCCATATAATTAGATGTCTTTTACACATATCTTCATATAAATTCCTTTGTTAGACTGTCATACGAGGCTAAATAGTATCTATTCCTTTGTCAATGATGTTTGGCCGAACTTAGGATCAAACTTGGAGCATAGGCAGCTTATGAGCATTCTAGAGTTACTTCCCCACCAGACGTGACTAAATCCTTTTCAATTCATTAAAGCTGGTTAATTTGGTTTATACTCATGTCAAATAGATCAAAAACATTCACAGTTTATATACTTGTAAACTAAATTGACAGGTTTGTTCAGGGAACAGATTGAAGTTTTCAAAGACAAAAATAGGCCTTTTTTATTTTTCTCCTTTCTAACAAGTCATAAGAATAGGTGGTACCGACCAAAAACAAAATAATAATAAGAATAGGTGGTAATAGAAAAGCACACTATAAAACAGCTAAAGCAAAATGAGCTATACGGAACTGTGATGGCATCGCAGCGATTTCCAGTAATTATATCTCAGAGATCTTCTCATCATTGCCATTGAGTCGTCTAGGACTGGACAACTGCATCACAGTCACACCAGTCTTCAGTTTAATTGTTCCAAAAGAAAATTTGTTCAGCTTTCATCATACGGATTGTTCATGTAATTCACTGGATAAAGAACCTACCCTCGCCGGCTCTCCTCTGCGGTTGACCCTCACCAGCCCAAGGTTGGAAAAAATAAAAAGGAAAGGAAAGAAGAGCAAAACAAAAATTTAGAAACCTTTTTAAAATTTAAAAAATTTCAAAGATTATTCACGTTAGCATCGCCCGGCGCTTACTAGACCTCCATATCAACGAGTTCCGGCCAAAATTATCCGAAATGATTAAATTGGAAAATCGTCAAAAGATTTAAGACTAAATCGGCAAATCGCCAAGATGTTGAGAATTAAATTGGCACAATTAAAAGGTTTATGAATGAATTGGCAAATTGTTATAAGGTTTAGTACCGAATTGGCCAAATTGAAAGGATTGTGACTAAATTAACATAATCGCAATAAGTTTAGGATGTTTTTGTTAATTTTTCCCTCGTAACCAATTCTTATGGATTTTCATGTACCCAACATCACAAGTAAAATCATACATCGCTGTGCCCTATATGCCATAGTAACAATCCTCGGCCGATGTACTCGACTTCCGCTTGTAGACTTTAGCACACCAAATCCTATTTGGTAGAACTTGTAGGGCATTCATTTTTGCTTTGAAAAAAAGAGGTTGCAATATCGACAGGATGACTCCGCAAAAATCTTATCGTATAAGCTAAAAGCCGAATCAATTATAAAAATTCCCAAAGGACCATTCAAACGTACTGTTTGCAACTTCTACTACTCTAGCTTATCTTGTTATTTAGATTTTAAAGTTAATTGTGTTACAGATAATTTTATGTAAATAAACAAACAACAAATGAATCACTTGTGTAAATACTCCGATTTGAGAAAAATTTTAAGCAAAAGAAGGATAAGATCTTCATCTGATTTTCGGAGTAGCATACCTCATAAGCACAAATGAGACCAAGATCATCAAGGCAATATAAAATGCTTGAGTGGTCTTTGGATAACCGCTTCCGCAGCGTCTTAATTTTTTCGTCCAGGTCTTTGAAACGATGTTCAAGGGAACCTTGCAACTTCAACAAGGAAGCATCAAACTGCCCATGCATAATGAAACCTCTTTAGAGTAGTTTCAGCCAACATATGTAGAGCGTGACATGGAATATTCAAGTATCATGAGGTGAACAAGCATTTGCATTTAATTAAGAATACCTTGGACCATGAAGCTTCCATCTTTTCCTTCAAAGATGCATTTGATAACTGCTGGTGGTCAAAGAACCAACATATACGTTTGGCAGAAGGAACATATACTTCTATCTCCATCCTGTCCTCGACAGTGTATATCTGTCCATGTAAATATATTCCCATATGAGTATGCTACAAGTTCATGATAATGTAATCAATGAAACAGAAAAACAGGAAAGTCTTTTGCTACCTGGGAATCCAAAATGCTCTCAAGCTTTGATATCTGTCCGTCACAATGCACAGAGGAGGAAACCCCTAAAACCATGATATTTCTCTTATCAGTGGCAAGTCAAATTAAACATCACATAGAGGCATAAACATATGGAAAATGCATTCGTGGTGGTGTGTAAGCATACTCAATGTGAAGCAGTATTTCAAGTTTTATACATATAATTAGATGTCTTTTACAAATACCTTCATATAAATTCCTTTGTTAGACTGTCATACGAGGCTAAATAGTATCTATTCCTTTGTCAATGATGTTTGGCCGAACTTAGGGTCAAACTTGGAGCATAGGCAGCTTATGAGCATACGAGAGTTACTTCCCTACCAGACGTGACTAAATCCTTTTCAATTCATTAAAGCTGGTTAATTTGGTTTATACTCATGTCAAATAGATCAAAAACATTCACAGTTTATATACTTGTAAACTAAATTGACAGGTTTGCTCCGGGAACAGATTGAAGTTTTCAAAGACAAAATAGGCCTTTTTTTTTTGTCCTTTCTAACAAGTCATAAGAATAGGTTGTAATAGAAAAGCACATTATAAAACAGCTAAAGCAAAATGAGTTATACGGAACTCTGATGGCATCGCAGCGATTTCCAGTAATTATATCTCAGAGATCTTCTCATCATTGCCATTGAGTCGTCTAGGACTGGACAACCGCATCATAGTCACACCAGTCTTCAGTTTAATTGTTCCAAAAGAAAATTTGTTCAGCTTTCATCATCAAAAGCGGATCGTGGT